CCAACTTTCGACATACAAACAAATCAACTTACAAACAGCCTCTCGGTCACTCTCTCTCGCTCTTTGACTCTCACTCTCTCTCGCTCTTTGACTCTCACTCTTTCTATCTCCCACTCTCTGACTCTCTCTGTCTCGCGCTTTGACTCTCACTCTCTCTTGTTCTCTGACTCTTTCTATCTCCCGCTCTCTGACTCACTCTCTCTCTCTCTCTTTCTCTCGCTAGCTGACTCTCTCTCTCTCTTGCTCTCCTACCTGACTCTCTCTCTCTCTCTCTTTCTCTCGCTAGCTGAATCTCTCTCTCTCTCTCTCTCTCTTTCTCTCTCTTGCTCTCGCTACCTGACTCACTCTCACTCTCTCTCGCTATTGGTGACTTAAGAAAGAGTCCAATTACCTTTGCCAACGAAAGAGATCTAATAAACTATTTCTCTTCTACATGTCATAATCTGGAATTCGTAAAATAAAAATCCTAAAAGAAACACCTATTCCCTAATCCTGCCTTAATGCAGTCCCTTTAAATGATATATTGTGAATGGACCCTGCCTCTGTGAAGTGTCACCGGGATCCTCCCCCAACTTACGGGAAGAACAACGAAGGGAAGTTCAGGAAAACACACGAATATACCCTGTATGCCCTGATGAGGCATATTCGTGTGTTTTCCTGAACTTCCCTTTGTTGTTCTTCCTGAACTTCCCTTCGTTGTTCTTCATGCAATTTGTTTGACATGAATCCCCCAACTTGGCACTTACAATGCACTTTGCACACCGCCTGTGTTGGCTTGACTCAATATCTGGGTTAGGGTCCGTGGCTTCAACATGTTCCTTTGCCTCGCCTGCCACCAAGCCGAGAACTATGTAGAGTAATCTCGGATAGATAAAGCCTAAAACGAAGCGAAGAACTGTGCGAGATGCGGCGCCCTGGCAGAGGAGGAGACTGGAGGATCACTAATCAGCTGACTCCCACTTACAGAAAACGGGATTCTGACCTTGAGATGATAACAAAAGCCTTTGCATTTTATCTGTTGAGGGGATATTCACTCGATATGTAGGCATTATCTTTCGCATTTGTGTGAATTTGTTGGTCTGTATACTGACTGGGGAAATAGTTAGGTCAATGAGGGCTTGGTTTTAAACAATTACGCATTGCAATAAACCTTGAGTAATGAAATCCAAATAAAGATGAAATATGCTCCATTTACAATTCTCTCATCCCCGTCCATCAAAGGGCAACGCGAATTTAAGAAATTATATCCCCCAATCTAAATTTCCACAAGAAGATTCAAATTAATTATTTTCTAGAGTCTTAGCTTGTCTCGAGAGTCGCGCGTCCACGGGACATTATTGGAACACAACAAACATTTCTTCTCCAGTGCAAAATGGCGACCCCGAGAAAATTTCAGGAAAAGATCGCGTTATTACAACAAAAGGAAGCTGAGGGGAAGATGGAATATGATCAGATTATGAATGAAGTCCATGAGCTGACCAAAGGGGTATGTGTGAAGGTCATCGCCATTCCTGGAAGGGTGATTATTCGCTCGTGAAATGGGGGAAAACAATCCCTGGATGGCACCAAAACATTGTCAAAGTCATTTCTGATTCGTTAAAAATGTCCCAAAAGCTGGTTAATTCCGCTCCAAAGTGTCGCGGACCGTGTGGGGAGAATGTCATTGATGTCATGCGAGATGTCATGGCGTTGTGAGGGGTCATCACACCGACTGTCATGCTGCGGAAAGGGAAGGAGGAAAGAGTGGAAGACATGTGATTTTTTTGCCATAACATTGGGCAGCAGGGCGGGACAGTGGTGGGCGTGTGGGTGTGGCCAAGGGGTTTGGGAGGTGTGTGTGCGGGTGGCTAATGTGGTAATTGTGTGTGTGTGTGTGTTCCATAAAGTGATGAGTGAGGGTGTGCATGTGTGGTGAGGGTGTGTGGTGCTGTGGTGGGGTAAACTCCATTCCTTGCCCAGTGCACAAGGATTTTGGACTTGGTTTGTTTACCAGTGACCTTGGGGAATGGGTTGTTGGGGTTGCCATGATCATGTGTCTAATTGTAAGTGTTGAAATAGAGTGGAATGAAATTGTGAGGATTGCTAACAAGTGGCAGGTGACAGTGTTCTTAGTTGATAGGGTATTGTTTCAGCTTTGGACAGTCCTTTAGTGCAAGGTAAGGAGTAAATGAATTTAATTGATTATCAAGTTTTAAAACACTTCACATCTGTAGCGTTTTTGTCTTAGATTAATAATAAAGTTTAATGATTTTTTAAGTAACTGATATATAGGTTTTGTTATGTTTCAAGAAAATAATTATTATAGCCATATTATCTCATTTATGGTTTTTCAGACATGAATAGATTATTAAAAATTCAGAATCCGTTAACAGTGGCTCATAAACACGGATTTGTCAAATGCCAGTGAAATTTTGTCATAGAAACTGCAGACCTTGGTTGCACCTGGAAAGTGAATCATAAAGCAGTTCAAGCTATATTGGTTGATCTTTACAGTAAGGAT